GGAAATTACACTGTCAGCCATATTAATCAATAGTTTTAGACCATATAAAATAATTAGACAATATAAAAATTATGAGAAGTAGAAATAAGCATAACACAGTCTTATATGTGTGTTTGAGTGTACATGTGTGTATGTTTATGGATATCTATGTATATGTGTGTGTATATGTGACTTCACACCTCAAAAACTACCTACATCTTTACCCCATCATCTCTTCCTCTGTTTCAGTCTCTAAGGATGAAGCTGCCTTTCTCCTTGCTCAGGTCAGCCCTTGTATCTGTGCCCTGAATCCCATTCATTCCCATAACCTTTGAGTGGGGTAGAAGGGGACTCATGCTTAGGGGTGGCAATGATGAACTAGTGAAAGAGACAGAGAAGCAGCAATCACCCCTCCTCTTTCAGGCTTTATCTTGGGGTTCTCTTTCTATTCTCTCTTCCTTGATAATCTCATCAGCTCCTATAGATTTAATTATCATTTCTGCACAAATGTTTCCTGAAACTACATAGCTACTTTTTCTCCTGAGTTCAAGTTCTAGATCAATAATAGCCTCCTAGATATCTTTCCTGGATTTCCCCTTGGTACCTCAAATTCAGTGTCTAAAGTAGAACTCATCATCTTTTCCTTTAAATCTGTTCTTCCAGAACCCATGAAGGATAGCTAGGCAAGGGAAAACCTGCTGCCACTGGGAGCATACTTCCCCTTTCCTCTTTCCCTTATCCCCTAGCAGTGGCCTCCCAGGACCCACCGGCCTTGCCTGACTGATCATACAGCTTGGAGGTGATGAGAGTCATCAGTTCTTTTCCTTCTAGTGAGATAGGGGAACACTGGGCTTGCCATCTGCCCTGCCTCTACTCCCTGCAGAACTTCAAGCACTGTTATTCAAGTTACTAATATTGCCTAAGCACCCCCAGGTCTTGCTATCCAACCCACTGTTGAACCCATAGTATTTCCAGGCCTTTCCATCTGCTTAACTTTCTTTTATGTGTTATCTCCCCCAGTCAGAGTATGAGGTCTTTTTTTTTTCCAGGCAATTGGGCTTAAGTGACTTGCCCAGGGTCACACAGCTAGTAAGTGTCAAGTGTTTGGTCTGAGGCCAGATTTGAACTCAGGTCCTCCTGACTTCAGAGCCAGTGCTCTATCCACTGCTCCACTGAGCTGCCCCAGCATCTTTTCAATTTTTATAGCCAGTGCTTAGAATTGATAGCCTTTAAGGACTCTTCTAAGTCTTTTATTTTGTGGTTGCTGGAAGCAGGGGGAATGGCTCTTTTCTTTTTATTATGAGTAAGTTACACTACGAGGGAGGGGCAAGGGAATAAGCATTTATATAGCACCTACTATGAGTCAGTACCACAAGCTTTTTAAAAAATAAATATTTCATCTGACCCTCACAATAACCCTGTAAAGGTAGATGCTATTATTATTCTCATTTTACAATTGAGGAAACTGAGTCAATCAGGTTAAATGATTTACTCAGGATCATACAGCTAGCAAGTATTTGAGGTCATATTTGAACTCCAGGCCCAGCACTTACCCACTGTGCCACCAGCAATTTAGACAGTAGACCCCAAATGGTTATATTTTATAAGCTGCTAAGCTTTAAAATTTACAATGAGACAGAAAAGGAATTTTTCTACTTAATTCAAGGAAATTTTCACTTAAACTTCAGTGACCAAAATGCACTTAAAACCCATGAAACTTTTATCTGGTTGTCTTTAGCTAATCCCATCTCAGGGAGGAATCAGCATATGTTCTTGTGCTGATCAGTCACAGTACCATTACAGACAAATTTCTTCTTAAAAGCTTTCACTAATTTTTTATCATAATCAGAAATCTCATGAAGAGTAATGAGGAACTTCTTGCAGTTTCTTTGTTTAATTCTTCTTTACCAAGCTGTTGACTCTTTTTTCATGATTTTCTTGCATCACTTGCATTTCTCCTCTCATTTTTTCCTCTACCTCTCTTACTTGATTTTGAAAATACTTTTTGAGCTCTTCCATGGCTTGAGACCAATTCATGTTTTTCTTTGAGGCTCTGGATGTAGCAGTTCTAAATTTGTTGTCTTCTGAGTTTGTGTTTTGATCTTCCCTGTTAGCACAGTCAGAATCTTTTTCAGCCATTTGCTCATTTTTCTACCTTATTTCTTGACTTTTGTCAAGTGAGGCTCTGCTTCCAGAGTGAAGAGGGCACTGCCCCAAGCTTCAGGTTTTTTGTGTAGCTGTTTTCAGAGGTAATTCTGGGGGAGGTCTATAAGTTTTCAGTTCTTCCAAGGTGGTACAATCTAGGGAGAGGTATTTACCACCTTCTTGGCCTGTGCTCTGATTTGCAACCCCAAGTACTCTTTTCCACCCTCGGAAATGTGATGAAGATGCCAGCTCCCCTGCAGCTACAAGTTCTAGTGTGCTAGTACTCATCCTCGCCTTGGGACTGAGACACAGGACTGCCACCCAGATCCAAGTACGGGCAATGCAACAATCTTGCCCAGTGCCAGCAAAGGAAGCCCTCTAATCTCCTTCTGACCAGCTGACCCCCCTTATTGCCTAGGCTGAGAGGTCTGAAAACAGCCACTGCTGCCACTGATTCAGTCACCTCCAAGGCCAGTGCTGGTTTGCTGGGACACGGCCTTTGCTAGACTGCTCTCCACTCACCCCAGTGCAACAGACCTTTCTTGACAAACTTCTAAGTTGTCTTGGGCTGGAAAATTGTTTTATTCTGTCCTTTTGTGGGTTCTGATGCTCCAGAATTTGTTTTGGGGAATTATTTAAAGTTGTTTGGAGGGGTTTTGGGGAGAGCTCAGGCAAGTCCCTGCCTTTTCTCTACCATCTTGGCTCTGTCCCGCCTTTCATTCGTATATAGCTATAATCCTCAATCCCACCAAGAAGCAGGTTATCACCCTTATTAGCATCAGCAAAAGTTTTGAAAGGGTCCTGAGGTTCTGGATGGCAGCCATATAATATAATTCATTTTCCTTAGTGGAAACAACCTGTGAAGTTACCAGCAGGAGAAGGTATGTGGTGGGAGTGTTGGGAAGTGACAAAGCTCAATGGAGAGGCTTCTGAGCAGTGTTTGGAACTGTATAAGTGCTTAATAAATGCTCATTCATCAATCCATCTATCCATCCATACAAACTTTCTTATTTCTGTCGAGGAAACCACAATCTTTATTCAAGGAATTCATTACCTAAGAATTATCTGAGTTTTCCTTCTGCTTTTTCCTTATTTCCAATGTTGCCAAGTTCTACTGATTCTACTCTCACAACATCTCTCATGTCTGTGCCTTCTCCATTTACACTGCCATTATTGTAGCTCAAGGCCCTTAACACCAATCAGATAGACTACTGTAAAAGCTTTCTAATTGGTTTTCCTGCTTCCAATATTTCCCCTCTTCAATTTATCATAGCTGACAAAATAATCTTGTTAAAGCATTGGTCTGACCACACCACTCCTCTGCTCAGACACATTCAGTGGCTACTGCATTTAGAATAAAATGCAAACTCCTTGGCTTGTATTTTAAGGCCTTCCTTAATATGACTTCAACTTCTTTTCCAGCCTTCTTACATATTACTCCCCTTTATGTAATCTATCTTCAAGGTAAGTAGAGCTACTAAGCTATTTTCTGAATTCAGTATTCGATCTCCTACCTTCATGCCTTTACACAAACTGTTTCTCAAGCCTAAAATGAACTCACTCCATCTTTTAGAATCTTGATCTTTCAAGATTCAGTTCAGTTGATACTTCCTCCATGAAACTTTCTCAGATACCCCCAGTTTTCTCCAACCTCAAATTACTTCATATTTACACATATGTTTATGTTATACCCTCTGATAGAAGGTAAGGTTTTTGAGGGCAGGTACTGTTTTGTTTTTGTTTTTCTCTACCAAGCACCTAGTACAGTGCCTTTTACTTAAAAGAAACATAATTTTTATTGAAATGACAAGGTAGAGAACTATAAAAATTACCAAATCAATTCAACCTACAAGTATTTCAGTAGATACTAAGTGCTCAAGACGATGTCCCCTGATATCTCTAGTCTACATGTACTACTTTACAGAGTAATCTTCCGCACAATATATAACCACACATATGTCTCCTTCATATTGTTCGGATGTTTCCAAGTGTTGTTTTAAATTAGGTTGCTAAAAAAGCAGGAATTAGGGCAGTTTGTTGGAATGTTAGATGTGAAGTAAAAAAAATTGACATAAATTCCAACTCCACCATTCACTAGCAGTGAATGGACAAATTAGTCAAGTTCTCTAAGCCTCAATTTTCTCATCCTTAAAATGAAAATGATAATGTCTGCACTGTCTAACTCACAAGATTATTATGAGAATCATATGAGATAAAGTACTTGTAAACTCCAAAGTGCTATATATTATATATCTGAACTATTATGACTATTCTAGAATAGTACACAAAGGGGCACCAACACAGTATATTGAATATACTGTTATCTGCTGATAGCTTACCTAAACACTATAAGCTAGGAATAAGGTTCTCAAAAGTTGTTATGAATCTCCACAAAAACATTAACACAACAGGTAATATTTTACTCAAATATAATTACAACAGAAAGGATAAAGATAGGCAATGTAATACCATGGCTTTAGGGTATCATTGTTTTGAAAATAGTAAAACATCCCCATTTTGCCCAAGTCCCTTCACCATAGGTCTTTGCTTGTGAAAATAATGTACAATGAATGTGTTTTATACTATTTTAATAGGCTTCCATTTTAATAAGGTTTGGATGCTTCATAACAAGTTTTAATATCCAATCTAATTCACTGAAATTGGACTTTTATCTGTAGAGGTTTTTCCTTCCTGCAAGACATCTATACATCTCAATCTTTATATAAGCTTAAATACTAACTCTTTAAAACTAGAACTTTCAGTTGTTTATTTTATCCAACCAGAGACTGTCCTGTTCACCTCTTCTATTATCACACAGGGCTTGATACATTAATAGTATAATTTACAAACCCTAATTACCTCCTTTTTAAACTTACTTAATGGTTTCTGCAAAGCTGACCCGACGAGAGCTTTTCCGACTTCTTGTAGTGATAAAGTCCTAAGGACAAAAAAATAGGTGGTATTATTGTTAAGATCAAGCCATTATAAACTAGAACTCAAGGGCATTATGTACATAAGCCAAATCTTATTTTTTAATTAATCTGGAATAGTACATTGCAAGAAAATTGGAGAGAAAGAGCCAGTCTCAGAGTCAGAAAGACCTGGATTCAAAGTCTGATTCTGACACACACTGAAGTCCAGACCAAAAAATAATTTATCCTGTAAAACATCACATGTGTGAAAGTATTAAATTTGCTTGAATCTCATTCCCAATGTACAGAGGAAAAATATTAGAATGTCAATATACATGGACACCTAGGATACATTAAAGTAGGAAATTTACTCTCCCTTCCCTTCATACCCTCCTTTCAAATGAATAGATGTGTTTGATTACAAGGGGAAAGAACAGTTCAAGACAGAGCAGAGAGTGTGGTGTTAAAAAATTCTATCCAGATGCTCTTCTTTTTTCCCAGCCCCTTCCCTGACAAGAATAAACATCTCTACCCACAAAAAAATATAGAAATAGGTGTTTTTACTGGGTGATTCTTCTTGTAGAAGGGCATAAACTTTTCTACACTGGAGAACAAGCAAAGATTCTCTTTTTTGCATTCAGAAATTTATATTGCTAGTGCCATAAGAGATACAATGGGGTAACCTAAGCCCAACATTAATGAGGCTGATAATGTGGCTGATGTGGTATAGCTTGTGGTAGCAGACTAGTAATGACCTCAAACTACCTGTACTTTGACTTATATTAGTTCAATCGAGAATAACTTATGAAGTTCTCTCTCCATGTTACCCAATAAAGTTACCTGACATTTTGCAATTATTAAAATGAGGCATGGTCATTTATAAAACCTTTGCCATCAGAGACCCACCTGACCAATTTCATTTCCACTTCTTATGTCTTGAAGAGGACTCCGTGGGGGTTTCAAAATCTAAGGGATACATTTAAAATTATTCAAGTTATTCAGGTATATCCACTAGAAATCAATTCATTTTAAAGGATTATAGAACCATAGATTTAGAGCTGAGGTAGACCTTTGAGGCCAAATCAATCCAAAGAGCAGTCAGGCATTGCTGCTAAAAAAAGAAACAAAAACCAACTCCATGACAAATCCAATAACTACCCAAATCCATCTGATTTATCAGTGCTGAAGCCTGCAGTTAATTAAAAAATTTAAGAATTAGTAAAGGCTTACTTAAAATAAATGAGTCATATTTAAATGTGCAGCTTTATTCCAAGAGGCTAGTAGGTTAATATACTCTACATTTCTGAAGCATAGTTCATTTCACCATCTTAAGTCATTCAATATTCTTCTGAACTTTAATGAAAATGATAGCTTAAGTCATTTAATAAATCACTTTAGCTTAAAAATGTTATGCAACCAAGGTTCCTCTAAAAACATCTATGAACTCAGTATTCCTTTATAGTATTCAAAATAAAAGCCAAATTTATTTTATTTTATTTTTTTCTCATCAACTGCTCTCAACTCAGAGTAGGGGAATCTCAGATGAGAATCAGAATAGCCTGGGCTGGAGAGAAAAGCTGAAGTTGATGGCAACAAGACTAGATCAGAAAAATTCATCCCTACCCCTTCTATCCAAGGCTTTCAGAAATGCTTAAGATTCTAAAAGTTCTGTGCAGGCTTTTTCAAAAACAACAGTAGATATAACAAGGCAGTGCCTAATCAATCAGCTGTCCGCAGCTAGACTCTGGTTGTTGTTGTTCAGTCGTGTCTCACTTTTTGTCTTCTTGGCAAACATACTGGAGTGGTTTGCCATTTCCTTCTCTAGTGTGTCCCCATTTTACAGATGGCAAAGAGGGGTTAGGTAACTTGCCCAGGGTCACACAGCTAGTAAATGTCTGAGGCTAGATTTGAATTGAGATCTCCCTGACTCCGAGGGCCCCATGCTCTATTCACTGCTCCACTCAGCTGCCCCAGGTGCATTGGTTTTATTGCCTGCCAGATATGGCTGCCAAAGATACAGGAAGTAGGTAATATATAACCTCTAAAGGTAAACAGGGACAAATTCAATTGTTTTGTCAAACTCGATATCTTCAAGCAGCTTAGAGTTCTGCCTTCCAATCTTGCTTTATATTACATAAATTTTTTTCTGCCCATAAAAATACCATTTAAATCACAGAAAATATTATAAATAATTTCCTCTCATTTTTGGTAACTTAGAACAGTGAAAATATCTTGGTACTTTTCAAGAAATCCAACCCTCATTGATGGCAAAATTTTAATAATGCTATCTTTATAAAGTGGAAAGAATTCTGTAAAATAGGAAAAACTACTATCCCAATCCACCATCAGTATTAAAATGTTTTGTGACTTTCCTATAATCTAAACAGAGATAACTTCTCAACCAGTTAATTCAGCAGCCTTAGGAGATCCAACTGTCCATTTTTTTTATTACCTTAAAGTGGCAAATACTAATTTGTTACATATTTTTTTGGTCAGCTTTATAGGTGATACCCATCACTTTTCCTGATAGCCCAGAACTAGAAACAAAGTAGATTCTCATCAGTTACGTAATGGCCAAATTGTGGCACAAGAATATAATAATAGTAACCATTATTGTTATTGCCATGTGTTTGTTGAATAGACAGCGTCCTTTTCTCTTTCTGCATTCCAGTGGATGGCACATCATCGTCATCATCATCATCATCATCATTACTAGTATTATATAATGCTTTAAGGTTGGCAAAGAATTTTACATGTGTTATTTTGTTATCTCATTAGATACAACAATCCTGTGAGGTAGGCGCCATTATCATTCCCATTTTACAGATGAAGAAACCGAGGCTGAGAAAGATAAAGTGATTTGCCTAGAGTCACACAGCTGTTAAGTTCCTTAAATCTGCACTCTGGTCTATCTGACTCCAAGCCCTATACTCCATCCACTGGGTACTTAACTGCCTTTTAACAGAATATTATTACCAAAAACAAAAAACAAAAACTGAATATTATTGCACCATAAGAAATTATGAATATCAAGAATTAAGAGAAGCATAGGAAGACTTACACAGCTGATACAAAGGAGTAGTAAAGTAATATATACAACAATTACAACAATGTAAATGAAAAGAAAAATACCCAAAACTGAATATTGTGTAATTATAATGACCAAATTTAGCATGGGAGGCTAAAAAAGGACACTAAAATAAGGGTACCAACACTGCAGAAGTGCTGGTTTATAAGTATGATTTATAAGTATGAAATCTGCATATACTACCAGTAAGTCCAATGTGGTGTTTCGTTTTGGTGAAGTGCTTTTTCTTTTTCTAAGTCTTTGTTACAAGAGACACTCATTGGGTTGGAGATGGGGCAGGGATATATTCAGAAACAAATGTGATATAAAAACAAATGATATCAATAAAATGAAGATTAATGTACATTGTTGAAAAACCAGGGAAATGATTAAACTTGACTTTACTTACTGAAGAACGCCGCTTTCGACCAGTTTGTTCTTTATGGTTACTGGAAGGGAAGAGGAAAAAGTAGAAAAATATTCATGTACTCAGTTGTAATAAGGGATTGTTTTCAACATGTGATATCACTGTAACTATAGCATGTTTTTTAACTGGTCAGTACTGCTTTAAAATTAAGAAAACTTAACTCAACTACCCTTGGCAGCACTTAACACCCACACTACAACTTCACTAATCTTTCGTTCTACCTATAAAAATTTATATCAAGAATTTAAGAGGTCTATTCATACAGAAAATACTATAGCAAAAAAAAGTTGTGATTTCATGACTTTTACTTCTTGCCTCTGGGATTGAATGGCAAAAAGATTTCGAAAGTAATAGTCCTTGCCAATTAAAAAAAACCATCTATCTCTAGAAGAGAGAGCAATAAAAGTAGCTATCTTTATATTTTCAGATGAAAGCACTGAGTGAACTTACTTTTCCTCACTGGGCTCTAGGCAAAACCCATCCATTTTTGAGGAGTTGCTTTTCAGGTAGCAATTGCTCTGTAAAAAAATAAACAGAGAGGAAGAAGAGAAAAGGTGATACAGAAAACACACTAAGGACATAACTATAATCTATATCTCAAGGTTATATATGAAGGAAGAAACACAAGAAGAGAAAAATCTAAAGATAGTTTCTTTGTTAAGGGACAACAAACTGTCTTTTGACAGAACTTCTAACACACTAAACTGCTACCTGATTTAACATATGCTATACTCTAAGTTGGGGTAAGATAAAGGTAGAGATTGGCTTGTTGATTTCAAAGAGGTGGTAGATGAGTTGATGGCATTAAGGACCAGCTCAAATGCTACCAATTTCATAAAGCCCTTACTGATTCCACATCCCACCCAAAGCTGAAATTTTCTCTTACTGAATTTTATGAACTTTACATGCCACTTATGAATTTACCATGGTCTAACTTATATTACATTTATCTGTGAAGATGTCTTATTTCTTCTTATTAGACTATAAGCTCTTTGAGGACAAGAACATTGTATTTCAAAAGTCTATATCTCCCCAAATTAGCACAGGGCAAAATACATCCTTTATAAATTTTTACTGAATGAATTAAATTAATCTCTTCAGAGATTTTTAAAATATTTTGAATAAAGTTGATTATTGTTCCAATTGAGATGACATTAATTTTATTAACTCTAGATGAAAAATTTGGCCTAATATATGAAGGACTGTTGTGTGGGTTACATAACAATTCAATGGAGAACGTTATCTAGATGTATTCTTTTCCTAAAACAGAACATAATATTTAGAGCTTTTTTCTAAACTACATTAGCAACTGTTCTTATAACAACAGGCTAATACTGAATAAACACATTTTCAGATAGCTGGTGTTTTTTGCATTTTTTAAGCAGAAAGAAAATATGTGGCCAAAAGACATAATCTTACTATATACAGTATCATCATCATACACAACAGGAAACCAAATCTGACCAACCTGACAGAAAGAACTTAATCTCTAAACTGGAATGAAATTCTACTAATTTTCATATTTCCATTTCAATGGATTCAATTAGTTGGTAATGTAGCATGTAAACTCAAGCTATGACAGTAACATATTATGGAAAATATATTAAATTGAAAATGTTACTTCCCAGAAAACAAACATATGCACAGAAAACTTCATATAATAATAAAAAAAACCTTCATGTGATAACTACTTAATAATTTCTTGGTGATTTGGTATCTTAAAGTGTCTCCATCATAATTATGCAAATCAGTTCATTCAATGACCAGTTTCAGTGCCAGGGAAAAGAGGAGAGTTGAAATTTCCTTGTCTTGGTTAGAAAGTATTGTTGCTATTCTTCATCCTTTTTTTTCAAAGAGGAGGGAGACTACAGGTGTAAAATGCTGCTTATACTATGAGATTTGCTAGCTTTGTTGGTTGAGTTTTGCTCAAATTTTCCTTTGTTACACTTAAGGGATCATTGAGAGGGATATATTGCACAACGATTACTATTGTTTAAAAGGTCACAAGTGAAAGTTATTTTTAAAATGGGGGGGATCCATTAACATTGTGGATTACAGATGTGTAGGTTATAGGGAGATTCAATATGCATTGATTCTAGGAAGTACCTTACCAGTAGTATTTTTAAAAAATTAAATCTCATATAATTTTTTTTTTATGATTTGCCCTCATTAAGAGAAAAGTACCGGGGAGAGAAGAAAGTTAATTTGGTTTGTGTTAATCGAAGTATTATTGTTACTACAATTTTAGTACCATTTATTTCTATAATGAATTTTCTTATACTATCTTCCCAGCATCCCTGATTCCCTCATTCCTCTAACCCTCTAATCCAATCATGGATCATTCAGTGTCCACTTTTTTTTTTTTTACAACATCCACGCTGCCAAAAACTTTTAGATTAGGGCAAAAGGTCTGGTTACATTTTGCCATTCTTTTCCAGATTCTTTCTCCCACCTTTTAACTATGGACATCATCCAAGGTTCAGTCCTTGGCTCTCTACTGTTCCTCACTTATACTCATTTTCTGGAGGAGCTCAACAGGTTTTCAATTACCATCTATACTAATAACTTCCACATACTCTTTTTGTCCCATATCTATCTCCCTAGGTGGATGGCCCACGCTAACTACAACTTACTTCAATGATTTGTCATTTCATCTGGATGGATACTCCTTCCACAAACAGTGATAGATCAAAGCCCACTTTAGTTTTAAAGAGTTGCTATGGATGAAAAATTCATAATCCTGTAGTGAACTTGGCGATAAGCTTCTCTCAACTCAGTTAGGTGCTTCCTCAGACAAGAGGCTTGCAAAGTCTATTGCTGAAGTCTTTCTAATTTACTGGCAACTGCCAAAGCTTGTGTTCCATTGGCTTAGCCTTTGAAAACCCAATTACCTCAATTAGGAGGACTTTACATATTGAAAAAAGCTGATCTGAATTTCAACAATCTAGCTTGCTTACTCTGATCAGTTAGGTGGCCATGATTTGGGACCCATAGATATAAAGGCTTCCAAGGAAGAATGTCAAAATTTAACAATCTATTCTATAATCCAGGGAGGAAAAAAGGATGGGAACTATTAATTCTCCAGGATGTCAATCCAGGGAAAGGGACTCAATCAATGAAGAAGCACTTAAAACTTACTATGTGCCAAGTGCTACACTAGCTACCAAGGATATGAATACAAAGAATTAAACAAAGAGGGTAACACATTTAAAGCAACTTGTTCAGAGGTAAGAAATTCTACTGTATCCTCACTTGGAACCTGCCCACAGCTATAGTAAAACATTGGGGGAGGAAAAAAAAGAAAAGATTTCTACAATGTTTAACTAAGGCAGACATAAAGTAGGGATTTCTAGGACTGAGTAAAGCCAGGGAGTACAGTAGCAACATTTGTTTTGGGGAATCCTGATACTTGGACAGAGGGGGCTCAAAGCATCACACATAAAAGGACTAACCTTGGTTGGTACACGTCTAGGATCTTAGCAGGAAAGGCCATTTCCTTGCTATTCAGACATGGGGCAATCTTTTACCATTAAACTCATTATCTTATTTCTCCTCTATTAATGGTATCGCTATTATACTACTCATAAGGTCCATAATACTAAAGCAATTTTAAATTCTTCTGTCTCTTTCCCTACCTCCCTTCAGTTAGGCCCATTTCTCTTTATCTCCAAAATTCCCACTCTAGTTTGATCATGTCCTGCCCAAATCAAACAAAAGCACTGAGTAGCTTATTAAGTATACAGATAGAGAAACAAGACTAACATAAAACAAGTTCAAGATTACAGGTACAAGCTGCTAAACTATGTGGTTTTCTACTATACAAGTTCAGAGGACAGAAGTGGTTGTGCTTTCAAGTTGTCTAGAACAGCTGGCTAGCAGGTCTCCTTGCTTCTAATTTCTCTCAGTCTAGTGCAGCCTTATTTATGTACTCTATGCCCATCAGTCAGATTAGTAGTCCACCTGAAAGTCTTCACTTGGTTATTTCTACTGCCTACTGTACCTCCTTACTGCAGCAGAGCTAAACTCCTCACTATCCTTTCTTATATTTCCAATTTCTTTTCTCTCTGCTTTCCAATCTGCTATTCCAGTCAAGCCAACCTATACGATATATTGATTACTTTTGCCTGTGTCTTTATTTATGTCAATTCTCCAACCTGGAATGCATCCCTCTTTCTGTCAACCTATGTCTAAATTTCTGACCTCTATCTTCACGTCACACTGCCATGACCCAGAATTCTAAAAATCCTCTCTCTGACCACAAACTCCTATCCTTCAACCTCTTCTTTTCTTTTTTTTTTCAACTTCTTTTGCCTTATCCATTCTAAACCTATTTTTACTCTTCACCATGACTAGTTGCCTCCACCTCTCCTTGGATTTAAAAGTATAAGGGACCTCAGAGGCAATCTAGTCTCCCAGTCTACAGTTCTGATCTCCCTCCGCAGTCTTGATCAACCAATTCAACCATAAACTATAAGCTATGCTTTAATTATTTGCCCTCTTATCCTATTGTCAGCCATGCTTTGCCAATCCCCAAACCTCAGCTACCCTTAACATTTGGCTTCTGTTCCTACTTACTGCTCCTGAACTAACTAGATTTACTATTAGTTAATTATCTAATCTCAACCTGGTTCTCACTCCATGATAATGTTTTTTTCCTTCCTGATTTAATTTCCATCACATTCTTCACAGTAGTTCTTTCAACCATGTTTCACTCCTCAGGACTCCTAGGTAGCTACTGCCTCCAGCTTCCCATCAGGATCTCACCTACTTTACTGAGAAAACCGAGGTTACCACTTGCAAACTCTCTCTTCTCCACTCCAGATCTCAAAACACATCTTCATCAACCCCATTCTCTTTTCCTTGCTCCAATCTCTAATATAGGATTGGGTCATCTCCATGCCACCTCTACTGGTGACTCTTGAACCCATACCCTCTTATCTCATCTAGTAAAGACACGTGGGTCATTCCCTCTAATTTTCAGTATTTCCTTATGCATAGGAGCACTCCCCTGCCAGCTATAAACACACTTATGTCTCGCCCATCCTTAACAATTTTCACCAGTCTTTCCATCCCATATCTCTTCTCCCTTTCATAGTCAAACTCTTAAGAGTTATCTATATTTCCTCCATTTCCTCACCTCCCACTCATTTCACAATTCCTAGCAATTTGTCTTCCAAGCATATCACTAGGCTCCAATTCTCCAAGGCTAACAATAATCCTTTGTCTGCTAAATCTAATGGCTTTTTTGAGTCCTCTTTCTCTTTTATATCTTTGCAGTTTTTGACCTTGTTAGTCACTCCCCAGGCACTCTTTTCTCCCTTGGCTTCCATGACATTGCTCTCTATTGTTTTCCTACCTATCTGCCTAACTCCTTCTCAGTCACTTTTCTGAAGACTTATGATCATGCTCCACACCAATAAGCTTGATTATCTCTCAAGGAACTGTCTTGGGTCCTTTTCATTTCTGTCTCTACATAATCTCCAATTTTGTATTACCAACTCCCTGCTGGACATCTCCA